GTTGGATCATCTTATCCTTTGAGGCTTTAAAATAGTTCTTACACTATGATTTTGAACATTCAAAGCAACTGGGAAACATCCATGGCAGGCATTGTTGTCACCTTAGCTTGCTACATAACTTCTGAGTGATAGGAAGCACCACCACCACCAATCAGCCTACACCACTGCACACACCCGTCGGTACTATGACAACTAGCGTAGCCATGTCAGCAAATGACTGCTGTCTGAACACACACAAATCTGATTTGGTCACTTGTAACTTGCTGTTTGGACAGTCAGTATTCCAAAACGGATTTGAAAAAACAAAACTGATTTGAGCATTAAGGCCTGCAGTGTGAACAAGGCTATAGTGTGGTGCTAGTTGGGTTCTGGCTGGGTTCAGGGCTCGGGTAATTAACTCTGACAGAGTTGATGAGCTACTAATTAAATGTGTATCTGGATCTGGCATCTGTCATAAAACAAACATCTGTTAGCTGTCTCTCCAATTGGATAATTATCAAGAGTTAGAGCTATAGAGTCTGGAACCCTGTCTTAGGGGGAGATACGTTTGGAATGATGGATTTAGAAAAACATTCCCCAAGTGTTTTTCAGTTGATGGCAGTTCCAATTGTTTCCTCAATGAATATGGACTTGAACATTTGGCCTGTTCACATGGACACTTCAAGCCTGTTTATCGTAGAGAATAAACATGTTAAATGTTGCTGTATCATCTTATCGCTGCGTATTGAGTTTTAGCTAAGATCCCCACTAAGATGCCAATACGGTATGTCAGATCAGAGTCAAAGTAGATGTCAGTCCCTCTCTGGATGTGTGAGATCCAGTCAGCTCAACCTCTATTGACTCGTTTGCAGATGGATTAGTGGCACAAACAACAGCAAAGATCCCTCTGAAAGCAGTATTACACAGATATCCACAACATAGATTGGCATAGGGGATCTTCATAGAGGTGTGTGAAGGACAGTGGGAATGTTTATATGGTCAATATTTCATTATTAAACCAACAGAATAACATGGTCAAAATGCTAACTCAACAAATGGTTGTATTTGGGAAAGGTGAAATATGGAGTTAATATATGTTTCTCACTCAAATCGTTCATTGGTTATCGTAGTTACTGTGTGTTTGGGTTGAGGAGAAGAAGGTGTCAGTTTGAGAGTTCCCATGGAAACTGGTCTTCTTCATTCCCATTCAAAGATGACAAAACAGGAAATGACAGGGATAAATGGAAAAGCAACGACAGCTTCAACTAAATATTTCAAGAACAAAAAACGTCCTCTGTCTGCCCTCAACCTTGTCGTCATTAAAACTGGAGTAAGAGAATGAGAAGTCTTGCATTGTGGAACGAGACATTGTAAAAAAAAAAAGACAGTTTGAAAGCTCTTGATTATTTTATGGAAAGCCCTGTACTTGGCCTGATTCCCTTTTCTCACAGTGGAGATGGCTTTACCTTCAGTCTCTGTACCTGCCCACCTACCTTTTATGCTCCAGCTGATTCTCCCATCCATAGAGTCCCTTTGATTGGACCGTCATATTTTCATCTAAATGCTGAGAGGATCGGGTGCAAATTGACATTATTTTGTATTTGTGGGGGCCGCTTTGTTTGCTGTGAGAATTGGCCTTCGCATCCACAGGAGTTCAATGAATTTAAAGAAGGTCTGAAATTCCACTGGCTAGCATTAAAGTCTGAGAAATTAATTCAGATGTCAGTAGTAAAGTACTGCGGTAGCCTGCGTCTGTGGCATATTTCTTACCGCGGTAAGGCTGTTAAGTAATGCTGTCTGTCAGGGTGACATACTGTATGATAGGGATAGGTGTGAGAAAAACAAGATCACGGTTGTCGTGAGAAAAAAATTATCCTACCTATAATTTGCATTCCCTTTAATCTATAAAATATCACTTGATTGAAAACGTACAGGCAAGGAATTCTTATGAGTGTCCGAAAACCCCACCTTCAGCTCTCACTCACAGCCCTTTCAAACCCCTGAATGTATGGATGAGGCATACAGTACTAGTCAACAGTTTGGACACACCTACTCATTCCAGGGTTTTCTTTCTTTTTTTTACTATTTTCTACATTGTAGAATAATAGTGAAGACTTCAAAACTATGAAATAACACATATGGAATCATGTAGTAACCAAAAAAGTGTTGAACAAATCAAAATATATTTTATATTTGAGATTCTTCAAAGTAGTCACCCTTTGCCTTGATGACAGCTTTGCACACTCTTGGCATTCTCTCAACCAGCTTCATCAGGTAGTCACCTGGAATGCATTTCAATTAACAGGTGTGCCTTCTTAAAAGTTAATTTGAGGAATTTCTTTCCTTCTTAATGCGTTTGAGCCAATCAGCTGTGTTGTGACAAGGTAGGGTTGGTATACAGAAGATAGCCCTATTTGATAAAAGACCAAGTCCATATTATGGCAAGAACAGCTCAAATAAGCAAAGAGAAACCATCATTACTTAAGACATGAAGGTCAGTCAATACGGAAAATTTCAAGAACTTTGAACGTTTCTTCAAGTGCAGTCGCAAAAACCTTCAAGCACTATGATGAAACTGGCTCTCATGAGGACAGACACAGGAAAGGAAGACCCAGAATTACCTCTGCTGCAGAGGATAAGTTCATTAGAGTTACTAGCCTCAGAAATTGCAGCCCAAATAAATGCTTCACATAGTTCAAGTAACAGACACATCTCAACATCAACTGTTCAGAGGAGACTGTGTGAATCAGGCCTTCATGGTCAATGAAACCACTACTAAAGGACACCAATAAGAAGAAGAGACCTGCTTGGGCGAAGAAACACGAGCAATGGACATTAGACCGGTGGAAATCTGTCCTTTGGTCTGATGATTCCAAATTGCAGATTTTTGGTTCCAACCACTGTGGCTTTGTGAGATGTAGAGTAAATGAACGGATGATCTCCACATGTGTGGTTCCCATCGTGAAGCATGGAGGAGGAGGTGTGATGGTGTGGGGGTGCTTTGCTGGTGGCACTGTCAATGATTTATTTAGAATTCAAGGCACTCTTAACCAGCACGGCTACCACAGCATTCTGCAGTGATACGCCATCCCATCTGGTTGCGCTTAGTGGGACTATCATTTGCTTTTCAACAGAACAATGACCCAACACACCTCCAGGCTGTGTAAGGGCTATTTTACCAAGAAGGAGAGTATTGGAGTGCTGCATCAGATGACCTGGCCTCCACAATCACCTGATAACCCAATTGAGATGGTTTGGGATGAGTTGGACCGCAGAGTGAAGGAAAAGCAGCCAACAAGTGCTCAGCATATGTGGGAACTCATTCAAGACTGTTGGAAAAGCATTCCAGGTGAAGCTGGTTGAGAGAATGCCAAGAGTGTGCAAAGCTGTCATCAAGGCAAAGGGTGGCTACTTTGAAGAATCTCAAATATATCATATATTTTGATTTGTTTAACACTTTTTTGGTTACTACATGATTCCATGTGTGTTATTCCATAGTGTTGATATCTTCACTTTTATTCTACAATGTAGAAAATAGTAAAAATTAAGAAAAACCGTTGAATGAGTAGGTGTGTCCAAACTGTTGACTGGTACTGTATGTCAGCTCTACCAACTTTCAATGCTATAACTGACATATACCATTTAACTATATAATAACATATACCATTTTTCATACACTTCAACAACCAGAGGACAAATATAGTTGTTTCAGAAGTGTTGCCTGTTAAAAAAAAATATGGATGGTTTATTTTGACCCTACTGCAACAAGAATCACCATCTTGTCCAACTAGGAACACAGTGTACATCCAAATATGAACAGTGGTTTATTTTTTATCAACAACACATTCATTCACATTCATTCTAATTCTACAAACATAGTTAAAGTATTCATTTATCCTATCAAATTGTTGGTTAAGTGGGTTTTCTAGTCTGAACTGATCACGAAACGGTGGAGGTTTATAACTTGTTCAGAATCTACTGAAAACATTAGACAGCCTAATACAAAAGCCAACTGATACAGACCCGTCCATAATACTGCCTCTAGAATTATAGCTTATTTACAATCATCTACGAGCAAGCCATCAGCGACCAAACTTATGAAACAACTGAACAGAAACGCGAAAATCTCATTAATTGATTGTGCTTTTTAAAACCACTTTTTAAAACCACTTCAGACTGAGGCATCAATAAAAGTGATAGTAACATTGGTTTTGATTTATTTCCAGATCTTTCTATAGCTATGAGTAAGACTGGAGTTACAAACGGTAGTTTTTTAAAATATGTATATATTTATAAAGTTATTACAGGGCTGTTCCAGTTCCATCAGCTGTGGTTGTGTCCTGTCTTTCAACAACAGAAGTCGTGGAGACATTGATCGGATCAGTCCTGGTGTTTTACCAATGCAAAGCTCTTTAGATTTGCAGTAGAAGTTCCTAGAATAAGAGATGTGTGTGCCTGAACCTCTCTATTCTCAAATATGTCAAATATGAATTACACCCAGATTGTTGCGGACAAGGGGAGTTGATGTTTAGGGCATGACAGGAGTAACGTAAGTAGAGTAGATTAGCCAATTTCACAGCACACTACCACAGCTGTCTCAGTCTTTGTGGGGTTTGTGTCTACTGCAGAACTCCAGTCTCTTACAGTACAGTACTGCTCTTGGCTCTGGTGAAGTCTGAAAAGGCAAAGAGATCTGAGTGTACCTTTTGTTTGACTTAAAAACATACAATTGTCGTCCTGTTATACTCACCAATCTCTTCCCATCCCTTTCCCCCCCCCCACACACACACACACTCCCCCATTCTGTGTGGCTGTCAGTAGAGCATGGTGCTTGCAACACAAAGGGTCAAAGGTTTGATTCCCGCTGGGGCCGGCCATACATAAAAATGTATGCACACATGACTGTAAGTCACTTTGGATAAAAGTGTCTGTTAAATGGCGTGTAATATAAACTGGCGATGAGATGTTTAGCGTTCACCTCTGACTCTCTACCAAGCTAGCCGTTAGCGTGCTAGATTGTGTTAAACAGTCACTTCGGTCTTGCTGCCTGTGCGGTAGTGCTGCTGGGGCATGTAGTGGAGCTGCTCCACAGTATGGGTCCTTCTGGAGGCAAACTGCTGTCTCTTATTAGTTGTGTGGTTCATGGCTAACGTGCTGGAGTGCCCCCCTGCTCCAGCTCCGCCCGCCGCCCCTGCGTTGTTCGAGGCACTGGGGTGGGAGTGCATTTTTGTCATCTTGTAGTGGTCCATGAGCGGCGTCGTGGGCATGAACACGTCCGGGTGCGAGATGGCGTGCGACATCGACTTGTCGTTGTTGCCTCGGAATCCGCCGGACACGCGCTTCAGCGACATCATCATTTTGTCCGGCGAGATCAGAGGATCCTGGGAGTACAGGCGGTCTTGGGAGAACAGGCGGTCTTGGGAGAAATGGCGGTCTTTCGGGTACATGTGGTCTTGCGATTGTAACAGCCTGTCCTTGGAGTGCATGCGGTCCTTGGAGTACAGCCTGTCCTGGGACATCAAGCGTTCCTGGGACATCAAGCGGTCGGCAGACAGTAGCTGCTCATCAGACAGGATACGTCCTCCTTGCCGGGTCATTCCCATCCGATGGTCTGGATCTCTGTTTGGGGACAGGACCCGGTCCTGAGACATGGCCCTCTGGACACGGGGAGGCCTCTGTCTTCTGGGGGCCTGCTGAGACTGGGGCTGCTGGGGTGGGGCCTGGGACACCTGGGGCTGGGGGGGCTGGCTCTGGAGCTGCTGCTGCTGCTGCTGCTGGAGGAATGGGTGAAGATAGTCAACTGTTGATGTATTCAATATCTTGGGACTTTTGCAACTGCATTAACTAAACAGCACCACTGCATAAATAAACTGCAGCTTTATATAAATAAGTACACTATTAGCTGTTTTTGTATTTTTATCAGTAACTTATTGTATTAATCAACAGTATGATACTGTATGAACTGAATACAGTAGATTACTGTAGAATGTACAGTAAAATACTATACATTTGTTTTACAGCACACTGTAAGACCTTTCTGTAATTTTAACAGTAAAACACTGTAGAATGCACTGTAAAATATCTTAAATCTGTTTTACAGTATTAATTATGGTGCATTGTGGGAAAATGTTGTGAGCGGGGAAAGAGTCTCTTGCTCATTAACATATTTTAAGGCGTGCCTTGTAAGAGGCTCTATTTGTTGCACCCATAAGTGAGAATGCTGTACCCCCACAGAATACGGTAATATACTGTAGTTTATGAATTCTACAACCCTTGTCGTGAAACTCTACAGTAACTTAGTGGCCAATTGCTGCCAGTTATTTACAGTACCATACCACATTTGTGGCGCGCCAAAAACCTTTTGAACACTAGTGGGTGCATGGTATTGTTGTTTCTCACTAATTAACATATTTTGAGGCGTGTCTTGCAAGAGGCTATATTTGTTACAACCGTTAGTTAGAGTGCTGTACCAATTTAAGTGATATGTGGTAGTGGTCCTCTAACAATTACATTTATATGGGGATCAGAGTGGCAGCAAATCTCAACCCTGTAATGGTTGAGTGACTAGTCATGTCCTTTTGATCACTGTAGAAGTTCTTGTTAAGGTCTTTGTTAAGACCTAAAGTGATATAAAACACCAAATATCAGTTGGTATAGTGTAATATATAATGAAATATTCACTTTTAGCAATTGCTGATTTTATTTTAAATCCAATTCAACAATAAAGTACTGTATTGCTGTTTTTCTATATATTTACTTCAACATACTGTAAATTCTGGTGCATTGTGGAGAAATATTGTGGGGGGAGAAAGAATCGCTGTCTCATTAACATATTTTAAGGTGTCAATTGTAAGTGGCTATATTTATTGTACCCATTAGTGAGCATGCTGTACCAATTTAAGTGATATATGGTGGTAGTTCCCTAACAATGACATATGACATATGTTACGTAGTCCCCTGTAGCTCAGTTGGTAGAGCATAGCGCTTGCAACGCCAGGGTTGTGGGTTCTTTTCCCGTGGGGGGCCAGTATGAAAAAGGTATGCACTCACTAAGTGTAAGTCGCTCTGGATAAGAGCGTCTGCTAAATGTAAATGTACAATATATAGGGAACAGATCAAAGTGGTAGTGGGTCTTTACCCTTTTAATGGTTGAATATTTACCCATGTCCAGTTCATCTGTTCTGCCTTGTAATCATGGCCAGTTTGGAAGGCTTTGTTTAGGCCTCTAAAAGTGCAAGTGATATAAAACAACTAGTAGTCATTAATATGCTGCATCAAGTTAATGTGAATATCTCAGTATTGTATTGACTTTAATGCAGGGAAACTTAAATCCTTTCTACCTCATTTCTACCAGCATGTTAAATGTGCAACCAGAGGGAAAAAAAATCTAGACCACCTTTACTCCACACACAGAGACGTGTACAAAGCTCTCCCTTGCCCTCCATTTGGCAAATCTGACCATAACTCTATCATCCTGATTCCTGCTTACAAGCAAAAACTAAAGCAGGAAGCACCAGTGACTCGGTTAATAAGGAAGTGGTCAGATGACGCAGATGCTAAGCTACATGACTGTTTTGCTAGCACAGACTGGAATATGTTCCGGGATTCTTCAGATAGCATTGAGGAGTACACCACATCAGTCACTGGCTTCATCAATAAGTGCATTGATGACGTCGTCCCCACAGTGACCGTACGTACATACCCCAACCAGAAGCAATGGATTACAGGCAACATCCGCACTGAGCTAAAGGGAAGAGCTGCCGCTTTCAAGGAGCTTATAAGAAATCCTGCTTTGCCCTCCAATGAACCATCAAACAGGCAAAGAGTCAATACAGGACTAAGACTGAATCATACTATACCGGCTCTGACGCTCGTCGGATGTGACAGGACTTGAAAACTATTACAGACGACAAAGGGAAGCACAGCCGCGAGCTGCCCAGTGACACAAGCCTACCAGACGAGCTAAATCACTTCTATGCTTGCTTCGAGGCAAGCAACACTGAAGCATGCATGAGAGCATCAGCTGTTCCAGATGACTATGTGATCACTCTCTCCGTAGCCGATGTAAGACTTTTAAGCAGGTCAACATTCAGATTACCAGGAAGTGTACTCTGAGCATGCGCTGACCAACTGGCAAGTGTCTTCACTGACATTTTCAACCTCTCCCTGTCTGAGTCTGTAATACCAACATGTTTCAAGCAGACCACCATAGTCCCTGTGGCCAAGAACACTAAGATAACCTACCTAAATGACTACCGACCCGTAGCACTCAAGTGCTTTGAAAGGTTGGTCAACGCTCACATCAACACCATTATCCCAAAAACCCTAGACCCACTCCAATTTGCATACCGCCCCAACAGATCCACAGATGATGCAATCTCTATTGCACTCCACACTGCCCTTTCCCACCTGGACAAGAGGAACACCTACGTGAGAATGCTACTCATTGACTACAGCTCAGCGTTCAACATTATAGTGCCCTCAAAGCTCATCACTAAGCTAAGGACCCTGGGACTAAACACCTCCCTCTGCAACTGGATCCTGGACTTCCTGACGGGCCGCCCCTCAGGGGTGCGGGCTCAGTCCCCTCCTGTACTCCCTGTTCACTCATGACTGCAACGACTCCAACATCATCATTACGTTTGCAGACGACACAACAGTGGTAGACCTGATCACCGACAATGATGAGACAGCCTATCGGTAGGAGGTCAGAGACCTGGCCGTGTGGTGCCAGGAAACAACCTCTCCCTCAACGTGATCAAGACAAAGGAGATGATTGTGAACAACAACAAAAAAAAGATGACTGAGCACGCCCCCATTCTCATCGACGGGGCTGTAGTGGAACAGGTTGAGAGCTTCAAGTTCCTTGGTGTCCACATCATCAACAAACTATCATGGTCCAAACACACCAAGACAGTTGTGAAGAGGGCACGACAAGGCCTATTCCCCCTCAGGAGACTGAAAAGATTTGTCATGGGTCCTCAGATCCTCAAAAAGTTATACAGCTGCACCATCGAGAGCATCCTGACTGGTTGCATCACCGCCTGGTATGGCAACTGATTGGCCTCCGACCACAAAGCACTACAGAGGGTAGTGCATACGGCCCAGTACATCACTGGGTCCAAGCTTCCTGCCATCCAGAACCTCTATACCAGGCGGTTTCAGAGGAAGGCCCTAAAAATTGTCAAAGACTCCAGCCACCCTAGTCATAGACTGTTCTCTCTGCTACCTCACGGCAAGCAGTACCGGAGCACCAAGTCTAGGTCCAAAAGGCTTCTTAACAGCGTCTACCCCCAAGCCATAAGACTCCTGAACAGCTAATCATGGCTACCCGGACTATTGGCATTGCCCCACCCATCCCACCCCAACCCCTCTTTTACGCTGCTGTTTATTATTTATGCATAGTCACTTTAACTCTACCCACATCTACATATTACCTCAATTACCTCGACTAGCCGGTGCCCCCGCACATTGACTCTGTACCGGTACACCCTGTATATATATAGCCTCCCTACTGTTATTTTATTTTACTGCTGCTCTTTAATTATTTGCTATTTTCTATTTTTTACTTAACACTTTTTTTTTTTTTTTCTTAAAAAACTGCATTGTTGGTTAAGGGCTTGTAAGTAAGCATTTCACTGTAAGGTCTACACCTGTTGTATTCGGCACATGTGGCAAATCAAATTTGATTCGATTTGATTTGACTATCCAGAAAGTCAGAGATATATCATAAGATTTCTTGTTGTAATTACAATTATTTTGAAGACCAATGTATCCCTAAATATAATAGCATTTTCTGTAACTGTTACATAAACTTTTTTACTTGCTATGACTGTGATGTTTTTTTTTATCAATCTTGGTTGAATGCACTGACTGTAAGTTACTAAGGAAAAGACCGCCCGCTAAATGACCAAAATGTACAAATGAAAACTTGCAAAGAATACTGGGTAATATGCCGATGCGTGGGTAATTCCAGTAAAATACTGTAATTTAGATTATGGTAACATTTTTTGGTACTGTAACATGGCTTAACAATAAAAAAGTATTACAGTAGCTGTACTGTAAAATAAATTACAGTAACTTGCTGCCAGCAAGTTACTGTACATTTTACAGGAATGTTTTACAGTGTAGCTGCAGTACCTGTTCCTGGCTCATTTTAATGACGTGTAAAGGCAGGGTGCTTCTGGCTGCAAGGTCAGGGAGGTGACGCTTGCAGGTGTAGTAGTCGTCGACGTCTTTATCCGCTGTGGAGAGACAGAAAGAAAGAGAACAGGTGGATTAGGAGAGAGAAAGGGGAAGGGAGAGAGTAGGAGGGAAAGAGAGAAAAATGAAAAATAAAGGTTGAAAGAATTGAGGGTCTGAAGGTTCTTCAGAGTCTGAGGATATTAAATGTGATGCCCCATCTGTGATTCTACCAGCGTTTCTGGCTGTGGGCATGAACTTTCCAAAGGTTGTGTAAAAGTCTGTAAACAAACAGTGTCATACTGCATGCACAACACAGAAACGTCATACACAAAGACCATCGAAATGTCGAAGGATGACATTCATGTGAAATAGATTTTAAATGATTGCAAAGGGTCCTTCAGATGAAAATTCTGCATGTTCATGTATTATCAAACAGCACATGGATAGGGGCTGTGTACAAGAACAGCTCAGGAGATAAACGAAAAGTATGTGGACACCTGCTCGTTGAACATCTCATTCCAAAATCATGGGCATTAATGTGGAGTTAGTCCCCCTCTTTGATGCAATAACAGCCTCTATTCTTCTGGGAAGGCTTTCCACTAGATGTTGGAACATTGCTGCGGGGACTAACTTCCATTCAGCCACAAGAGCATTAGTGAGGTCTGGCACTGATGTTGGGTGATTAGGCCTGGCTCGCAGTCAGCGTTTCAATTCATCCCAAAGGTGTTCGATGGAGTTGAGGTCAGGGCTCTGTGCAGGCCAGTCAAGTTCTTCCACACTGACCTCGACAAACCATTTCTGTATGGACCTCGCTTTGTGCAAGGGGGCATTATGATGTTGAAACAGGAAAGGGCCTTCCCCAAACAATTGCCACAAAGTTGGAAGCACAAAATCGTCTAGAATGTCATTGTAATAGAACGCGTTTCCACTGCTCCAGAGTTCAATGGTGGCGAGTTTACACCACTCCAGTCGACGCTTGGCATTGCGCACGTTGCTTCCCGAGGAAGTTTGGAACTCGGTAGTGAGTGCTGCAACCGAGGACAGACGATTTTTACGCGCTACGCACCTCAGCACTCGGTGGCCTACCACTTTGCGGCTGAGCTGTTTTTGCTCCTAGACGTTTTCACTTCACAATAACAGAACTTACAGTTGACCGGGGGCAGCTCTAGCAGGGCAGAAATTTGACGAACTGACTTGTTGGAAAGGTGGCATCCTATGACGGTGCCACGTTGAAAGTCACTGAGCTCTTCAGTAAGGCCATTCTACTGCCAATGTTTGTCTATGGAGATTGCATGGCTGTGTGTTCGATGTTATACACCTGTCAGCAACGGGTGGGGCTGAAATAGCCGAATCCACTAATTTGAAGGGGTGTCCACATACTTTTGTATAGATAGTGTATGTGCATGCCTCCAGATTGTCTTGGAAGGATGTGTGATATCACACCCTGTATGTATTATACAGAAGACTCACGGGGAACCATGCATCAATCATTAGTCATACATAGAGATTCGACATATTCACAAACACACACACACACAAGCACGTGCGCTAAACCCACACACAGACAATCTGTCAAGAATGACTAAGTAAAGCTGCGGAATAAATCGTTTCAAAAATAAAAAATCTTTTGAAGTTCACCCCCCCATAAAGACATAATGAGAGACGTCACTGGACAGTTGACGTCCTTGGAGTCTCTATTCTTTTCTCACGTTGTCTTTGACTGTTTTACTGCTAAAGTGAGACGGAGGTGAACGTTAATAGCATTCATCAGATGAATAACAAAAGATGTGTCCGCCTTACACAGAACCCAGAAAGAAAACACCAAGCCGTGTCAGTTACAGTAGGGGTCACGAAGCTTCTGAAACATCTCAGGCTGATCACTTCCTGTACTCAAAGGGAATTACCTAAGGTATATTACCTGATGAATAATGAAAAGACACGTGTATGTTTTTTTTTTTTTAATTGGCATGAGAATAATAATGAATAGGTTAAATATACGTACTGTGCTGTACTTTCAATGTATACATCAATTTACATTCATAAGTAGACGCTGAGATTTTCATTTTTTTCATTTTTCCACTAAGCCTCGGGCTTTATCCTACATGATATTTCAGTAGAAAGACACTATCTGACTAACGAAGAGAACTGCATGGCGCCTTCTGCTTTGGAAGCAGATAAAGACGGCTACTGTAGACCGGCTGGCATCGCCTGAGGACAGTTTTAAGTTTCAACATAGCGGCAGAGATTATTCTACGGCTTTGACTGGACTGGATTGTGGGCTTTCGACCATAGCCGCGAGAAGTAGGGGTGCTGAGTGTGCTGCAGCATTCCATGATAAATTGAAATCAACAAAAAATGTGTATTAAAATACTTTTAAAAAAAACAGCTTCACAGGATAACAGCAACAACAACATTCACCATGCCAACACACATTAAGACATTTTCCCAATAACTAACATTTCCCAAGCACTGACATTTTCCAAGCAATATGCAGTCCAACTTCTATTAGATTCAGACTGTAGAACATTGTTTTGCTGATTACACCCTTCCAGATATGTGGATCACAAGTAGACAATAACAACAGACACCTGAGACAGGATCAGTATAACGATGTTCACCCACTCTAGAGATAGCTGATGGAATCAGTATAACGATGTTGACCCACTCTAGAGATAGCTGATGGGATCAGTATAACGATGTTGACCCACTCTAGAGATGGCTGATGGGATCAGTATAACGATGTTGACCCACTCTAGAGATAGCTGATGGGATCAGTATAACGATGTTGACCCACTCTAGAGATAGCTGATGGGATCAGTATAACGATGTTGACCCACTCTAGAGATGGCTGATGGGATCAGTATAACGATGTTGACCCACTCTAGAGATAGCTGATGGGATCAGTTGTAGATTCAGATCCTTTACTTTGTTAAACATTTAGGAAAACACTATGTGATGCTCGGTAGGTGTTTTTGATTGAATAGGTCTTTGAGTGTGTGTGTGTGTGTGTGTGTGTGTGTGTGTGTGTGTGTGTGTGTGTGTATGTGTGTGTGCGTGCGTGCGTGCGTGCGTGTGTGTGCGCACTGTATGTTGACTGAATACAAATCCCCTACAGAATTTTCAGAAGCAGGGACTTTGAGTTGTAGCCTGTACCATAGATTCAGATCCCTCCTTTTGTTCCCATGCCAACAGTGAAGTATAGAACAGCCAGATGCAATTACACAAGCCTTAAGGAATGTTTGCATTCCACTTCTAGAATATGATGACATGAGACCTCATTCGAATGCAGAAGCCAGCGGAGTACACTGAATCAATAGAACTGCTCATAGCTTAATGAGGTTAAACGCTCACAGAGAAATGGTGGCTGCTGCTAGTAATGCTTCTCTCTAGAGAGGTCTTTAAGGGGAGAGGGTGAGCGTGTGGTGTATAGGGTTTTCAAGAAGCAGTGACATGTCGGAAGTTGTGGAGGAGAATGGATGACATGTAAAAAAAAAAATATTTTCTGTGCCATCTCATTCAGACACTCTGTTTATGCCTTCAAGAGCCAGGGCTTTTCTGGAAAGGTAGTGAACGCCGGTGCGCTTCTAATGAATATTATGACCCTTTCAGGAGAAAGTGTCCTTTCATTGCATCTTTGGGGGCGTATGGTATAATCCCTCATAAACGTTTGCCAGTCGAGTAACGAGCCGAGTAACGAATGCAAATGTTCTAACATGCCAGAGTAGGCTGTAATTTATGCAGTAGAATGTTTTTAACATGCCAGAGTAGGCTGTAATTTATGCAGTAGAATTTTTAACATGCAGTACATTTAACAGAGATAGTGGAAGCCCCGTCAGCGTTACTGCTAATGGTGATTTGTGCTGTGGTGGGGACCTACTCAGTCTCTTCAGGGAGGAGTATCTGTTGAGGTCGGCCTTGACAGCGGCCTCGTAGGTGGGTGGCAGGTGGGACAGGCTCTGGAATGAGCGTGAGGAGGACAGGTCATACGGCTCCGTCTGTGAGGTCAGGATGCCACTCATCCTAGTGTTCTCTGGGGAGACAGCAAAACAAAGAGGGAAAAAATTTTCCTAAAAATATACGCCGTCAGATCAAAGGCAACGATGGCAGAGCACGCCTGCTGAGGAAGGGAGGAGGGAGGGACGGGAGTGAGGGTAGGTGGAACTTGTTTAGAGAGCGTTTGGTAGAGTCTGGGAGGTGGATGGTGAGGTGAAAGAAGGAGAGGGGGCTAAGGGACATGGGTTAAGAGGTGGACATCAGGCACTCTGGGAGCGTTTGGCACTGTCTGGTACAGTAGATAAAATGATGTGACAGGGCAGGTGACAATGGCCCCCGAAACAACACCAGACCAAACAACAGATGTCTGCTTCACAGTGACCCTGACTGCGACAGTTTGTGCGCTGTCATTTGAGGAGGGGTGGGGAGTTGGATGGGGAGAGGGATAGGACAGGGCAGCTACACGCTTGTCTGACTGATGCGATGTCATGCCAGAGAGAGATGGGCAAACTGGGACCTCTCTCTCTCTCTGTGTCTCTCTCTCTCCTGTGGGCTGTGAGTCTGTCATGCAGAGCAGCGGCCAGATAAAGTGAGGGAGGAGAAAAAAAGAGCAGAGGGAGAGAGAATGAGAAGATGAAGAGGGAAGGCGGATTGGAGGGAAGGATAGAGAAGAGAGAGAGAGGAGGAGTGAGAGAATGAGATGAGATAAGGAATGCGGATTGAGGGGAGAGAGAAAGAGAGTAAGAGATGGGAGAGAAGAGAATCTGAGAGGGCAGGCGATGTAGACTTAAGAGGAAGTCTGATTGGAGGGATAATAGATAGTCGTGGCTGCGAGACGCGCTGCGTCTCTATATTGAGGTCTCTTCGTATTTTCTTTGCATTCTGAGCGAGATTCTTTAGGGGCTCTAGTGCAGCTGAGACGTGTGTCCTTAGAGGCTGCTCTGTCCTCTCCGTCGCTCTGCTCTGCTCTGATCGCGCTCGGCGTCGCGCGGCGTCTCGCGCTCCGCGCTCTCCTCTCCGGCTGCGCGCTAGCTCGTAGCGCTACTCTCCAGTCGTCCCTCTCTCGGCGCGCTGCCCTGCTGCTCTCCTCGCTCGCTGCTCGAGCTCCTCTCGCCGCCTGTCGCGATTTGTAGGGAGCTTTGGCTGGCCGATTTTGGAGCTTTTTGGGGAGTTTTGGGCGGGTTTTTTCGAGTTTTTTAGGCGGTTTGGGGGAGTTTTGGGAGGAGTTTTGGAGGAGTTTTGGGAGGAATTTTGGAGGAGTTTTGGGAGGGCAACACTCTTTCCATACTTTCTCAACACAGGGAAAATAGACTCACAATGTGACATGCTGTTAGCTACCTCCATAACCAGAAACACACTGCTAAATCACCAGGCACATTACGACCACACCACACACTATGTGGACTGGGGAAGGTACAAAGGCTGAACGGTGGGTGAGTGTGAGGTGGGGTGAATAGAAGGGTGTGTTTGAATGTGAGTGCAATTATGTTGATTTATGTGTGAATAAGTGTGTGTGTATAAGTGACTGTGTGCGTGTGTGTGTGTGTGTGTGTGTGTGTGTGTGTGTGTGTGTGTGTGTGTGTGTGTGTGTGTGTGTGTGTGTGTGTGTGTGTGTGTGTGTGTGCGTGTGTGCGTGCGTGACTTACCACGTCTCAATGATCGGTGAGCTACCCCACCCAAGTGAAAAACAGACAGTTCAGAATCATGTTGATGGTGTGAAACAGCATTCAGACCAAACCCAGCCAACACAAACCCCACCAACACACACCCAGCCAACACACACCTCATTCATTACCATAAGTCCAGAAAATAGCTCTGTAATAAACCAATGATGCATATCACTTTTATGTATTTGGAACAGACAAATGATCTAATGTGCCTTCAGATAGAGTAAAAATGCACCTTATGAATGAATATGTCTCCATCCCCTCTTTGTCTGAAATCAAGTAACGAATTTGACAGATCAATGTGATTTTTTTTTATTGAACGAAAGCTTCTAAATTGCTTTCAACACCTAATATGCATTTGCATTGCATAGCGGTTGGGTACAATGAGGCGGCGGCAGCCAATAAGAAGAGTTGGAGGTGTGGCCTATTGGGGGCGTGGCTTTCAGTTTGTTCTTTAAAAAAAACATATATAATTATATGTTCACTGCCAGCACTGAATATTAAAGCTGCAATGTTTAACCTTTTGGGCGACCCAACAAAATTCACATAGAAATGAACGTTATAGATCCGTCATTCTCATTGAAAGCAAGTCTAAGAAGCGGTACATGCTTCACTGTGGGGATGGTGTTCTCGGGGTGATGAGAGATGTTGGGTTTGCGCCAGACATAGCGTTTTCCTTGATGGCCAAAAAGCTCAATTTTAGTCTCATCTGACCAGAGTACCTTCTTCCATATGTTTGGGGAGTCTCCCACATGCCTTTTGGCGAACACCAAACATGTTTGCTTCTTTTTTTTATTTAAGCAATGGCTTTTTTCTGGCCACTCTTCCGTAAAGCCCAGCTCTGTGGAGTGTACGGCTTAAAGTGGTCCTATGGACAGATACTCCAATCTCCGCTGTGGAGCTTTGCAGCTCCTTCAGGGTTATCTTTGGTCTCTTTGTTGCCTTTCTGATTAATGCCCTCCTTGCCTGGTCCATGAGTTTTGGTGGGCAGCCCTCTCTGGGCAGGTTTGTTGTGGTGCCATATTCTTTCCACTTTTTAATAATGGATTTTATGGTGCTCCATGGGATGTTCAAAATGTTGTATATGTTTTTATAACCCAACCCTGATCTGTACTTCTCTACAACTTTGTCCCTGACCTGTTTGGAGAACTCCTTGGTCTTCATGGTGCCGCTTGCTTGGTGGTGCCCCTTGCTTAGTGGTGTTGCAGACTCTGGGGCCTTTCAGAACAGGTGTGTATATATACTGAGATCATGTGACAGATCATGTGACACTTAGATTGCACACAGGTGGACTTTATTTAACTAATTATTTGACTTATGAAGGTAATTGGTTGCACCAGATCTTATTTAGGGGCTTCATAGCAAAGGGGGTGAATACATATGCACGCACCACTTTTCCGTTATTTATTTTTTATAAATTTTTGAAACAAGTTATTTTTTTCATTTCACTTCACCAATTTGGACTATTTTGTGTATGTCCATTACATGAAATCCAAATAAAAATCCATTTAAATTACAGGTTGTAATGCAAAAAAATAGGAAAAACGCCAAGGGGGATGAATCCTTTTGCAAGGCACTGTACACGGAGGATATCACAGGTTGTAGTGTATCTAAGCAACACAGCACATTGGTATACCAATCCCTTTTATGTGTCTTGTGATTGAAGTGTGTGTGTTTGATGTGTTGTCGGAATGGATTTCTAATGTTTCCCATAGATTTCATTGGGATTTCTTCATGGATCACTCCTCTGATTTAGCAGTGTGTAATGGAACACACATTGAATTGTCACACACGAGGAGATGTGTTGCGACTACAGAATCTCCTTAAAACCCAGCGGTAGCCCAGGAGGGGAGAGGCTTCCACGCAGGGTTGAGCCGACACTGAACATCAGAATACAAGCCAGAGAGGCCAATCCAATGTTAAACAAACACAAAGGCAGTGGATTATCTCTCCTTTTCTTTCTTCTTTGTCTTCTTCTCACCCTTTGTCTTTATGAAACCAGCTTCCTCATATCTCTCCATCAGCCCCTATCCCCCCTAAACCCGGCTCTTGTGAATGAATAGAGTCAATTGGCTGCAGAAAATCCCTAAATGCCGTTTGTAATGAAACTGGGGCTGATTTCTTCAGCGACAGCAGAAGGTTAGAATATAATCTCATAATGACAGGGTCAATCATCTGAGGAGGAACGCGTTCTGTGGTAGAACCATATAGCCGGGATGCCCTGACCTTAACAGGACATTAACTTGATGACCAGCCAATCGTATTTCCCTTTAGTAGGTGATATGATGTATATTCAGTATATTCATGTCAAAGAGTGTTTCGAAGTTAATTCCCAAAACCGGGGCTTCATTTTTCATTAGAATGGCCCGGTTTTGAATGAAGTGATTTTGTTACATTCGTCTTTGTACAAATAACTGGGCGGCTCTGTTTTCAACATCCACACTAAAGTAATGTACCGGGCGTGAATTCTAAGTAATAGCCTATCCTACAGTGGAAACTGTAACATAACCCTGTGTCTGGATGAAGTGCTGTTAGCTGTCCTTACCATTATGAATGCGTGTTGGGCTACCTAGAACCGTATGGTTGTAGTTGTGCTGGTGGGTACCTGTGAAAACAGCAATGGAGACGATCATTCAACGTGACAAGCATATCAGATATTGTATCTGATCAAAAGTAATGACATGGTTTAATACAAGCGGAGATCTAGTATAAGCATCATTAAAGGAATAGTTCACCCTAAAATGAACATTTGTTAGATGTTTCCATACCTCAAAAGTGGTCTTTAAATTGAATCAAGCTTAGTCCATATTCAATGCAATCTGTTATGTTGATCCCGACTTAGGAATTTAAGCAAAATCTACAGGCTTCAACCCCAAATGAATAAGAAAGAATAGCACAATCAAAGACCACTTTTTTCGAGGTAATAAAAAACATCTGACAAACGTATATATTCAGACGTAGAGAATCCCTTTAACATCCTCCATCTAAGGACACAGATAGAATCCCTTTAACATCCTCCATCTAAGGACACGGATAGAATCCCTTTAACATCTTCTATCTAAGGACACGGATAGAATGATGACGGAAGATGGAGACAAAACGGTAATGAGAGAAAACGAGGGGAAGGATGAAGAATGTGGAAGGATGAAGAATGTGGAAGGATGAAGAATGTGGAAGGATGAAGAATGTGGAAGGATGAAGAATGGGGAAGGATGAAGAGGTGGAGACTCCTCAGTCCCGTCGTAACCTAGCCGTTACCCTGTATAGCAATATTCACATACACACTGGCATGTAATATTAACATACACACTGACATGTAAAATTAACATACACACTGGCATGAAATATGAACATACACACTGACATGGGAGATGAATGCCCTTGTTCTTTAAAAAATGTGCATTATTGAGAAAAAAAATCTCAACAAAATCCCATTTAAAGTCTGAAAATATTTGGTGATTTTCTAACCCTTGGAATCAGACATTTTGGGATGACAGTGATTGGTGCTTAGTGACCATGTGACCCCTTTAATGACCTTGTTGCACTGAGTCAGGTGATGAAAGGCAGCTATTCTGAGTTCTCTGTGTCTGTGTCTGTGTCTGTGTGTGTGTGTGTGTGTGTGTGTGTGTGTGTGTGTGTGTGTGTGTGCGTGTGTGTCTGAGTGATCCAGGTGAAAAAGCAACGACAGCTAGATAGAACACCCGATGCAGAGTGCCGTTGCGACGCGTTCACTTGGCTGTGTGCTGTGGTGCCTGTTTCAAAATGCATCCAGAACCCACTGCTATAACACTCCATTTAAATCGGTCACAAAGCTGAGACGGGAGAGAGGACCCCACTCGCACGCTCTCACATCATGGGTTTCAATATTTGTTTAGGAAGATGGATTGTGTCATCGGAGTACATGCGCTGTGGGTGTGTACAGATGTACAGTTGAAGTCGGAAGTTTACACACACCTTAGCCAAATACATTTAAACTCAGTCTTTCACAATTCCTGACATTTAATCCTAGTAAACATTCCCTGTCTTAGGTCAGTTAGGATCACCACTTTATTTTAAGAATGTGAAATGTCAGAATAATAGTAGAGAGAATGATTTATTTCAGCTTTTATTTCTTTCATCACATTCCCAGTGGGTCAAAGTTTACATACACTCAATTAGTATTTGGTAGCATTGCCTTTAAATTGTTTAACTTGGGTCAAACGTTTCGGGTAGCCTTCCACAAGCTTCCCACAATAAGTTGGGTGAATTTTGGCCCATTCCTCCTGACAGAGCTGGTGTAACTGAGTCAGGTTTGTAGGCCTCCTTGCTCGCACACGCTTTTTCAGTTCTGCCCACAAATTCTCTATAGGATTGAGGTCAGGGCTTTGTGATGGTCACTCCAATATCTTGATTTTGTTGTCCTTAAGCCATTTTGCCACAACTTTGGAAGTACGCTTGGGGTCATTGTCCATTTGGAAGACCCATTTGCAACCAAGCTTTAACTTCCTGACTGATGTCTTGAGGTGTTGCTTCACGGTTGGAATGGTGTTCTTCAGCTTGCAAGCAATGCCCTTTTTCCTCCAAACATATCGATGGTCAGTATTGCCAACCAGTTCTATTTTTGTTTCATCAGACCAGAGGACATTTTTCAAAAAAGTAAGATCTTTGTCCCCATGTGCAGTTGCAAACCGTAGTCTGGCTTTTTTATGGCGGTTTTGGAGCAGTGGCTTCTTCCTTGCTGAACAGCCTTTCAGGTTATGTCGATATAGGATTCGTTTTACTGTGGATAGTCGATATAGGACTTGTTTTACTGTGGATATAGATACTTTTGTACATGTTTCCCCCAGCATCTTCACAACGTCCTTTGCTGTTGTTCTGGGATTGATTTGCACTTTTCGCACCAAAGTACATTAATCTCTGGAAGACAGAACTCCTTCCAGAGCGGTATGACGGCTGCGTGGTCTTTTTCTGAGGTCTTGGCTGATTTCTTTTGATTTTCCCATGATGTCAATCAAAGAGGCACTGAGTTTGAAGGTAGGCCTTGAAATACATCCACAGGTACACCTCCAATTGACTCAAATTATGTAGTTTAGCCTATCAGAAGCTTCTAAAGCCATGACATAATTTTCTGGAATTTTCCAAGCTGTTTAAAGGCACAGTCAACTTAGTGTATGTAAACCTCTGACCCACTGGAATTGTGATACAGTGAATTATAAGTGAAATAATCTGTCTGTAAACAATTGTTGGAAAAATTACTTGTGTCATGCACAAAGTACATATCCTAACTTGCAAAACTATAGTTTGTTAACAAGAAATTTGTGGAGTGGTTGAAAAACGAGTTTTAATGACTCCAACCTAAGTGTATGTAAACTTCCGACTTCAACTGTAGGATCTTAATTTGAGCCAGTTTGCTACAGCAGGAAAATAATCCTACAGCAACAGGAAATGTGAATTATTATGTGGATTATAATATAAAAGTGGAAATTACAAACTTTAGAAACCTTTTCAAAACTCAAATACACTACAAGTTTGCATGTCCTGTGGTACAAGAAAATTCTCAGCAACAAAAGAGTGATCAAATTAAGATCTTACATCTGTATGAGCGTATTTTATTTCTATAAAGTATAGCTTAACAGTTGACATCTGGAGATAGAGAATATTTGCGAACAAAGTGAAGTCACAGACGTGAGGGCAGGGTTTTGCTGAATATATGAATGTACTTAATGTTTTTAGATATTATCACACACAGAAACAAATACACACTGTGATCTCCACTGTAATGATATTGTTCTCTAGCTGTAAAACCAAAACACTTTCCATTCACTCTTTGTAGTTAATCCACCCCAATCACACCATTTAACTTCAGGCTTGGCCCCACACTATCAGTGCACAGAGAGAGAAAGCACTGATACCTCCATAGAGAAATAGATAGAGACAGTACTGCAGAGAGACCCATAGACAGACAGAGCCCCTGCACTGGATCCTAATTAAGAAGGAAGAAGAACTGGTCGTTCATTGATCCCACCGTAATCAGGCGACCAATTAGCTGTGTTGGAGAGAGACAATACATGAGCAGGCACACACACACACATACCACATACACACACACACACACACACGCACACACGCACACACCATCACCCCTGGAGCCCAGAGGCTGTTTATCAGGCTTAAACACAGACATGCACACACACCACACACCACACACACACACACACACACACACACACACACACACACACACACACACACACACACACACACACACACACACACACACACACACACACACCCCATCACCCCTGGAGCCCAGAGGCTGGTTATCAGGCTTAAACACCCAGCGCTCTGTCATCCGTTTCAGACCTGTGGTGCAAACTAGACCCCTCTCCAGAAATGGGTTTGTTATTGACCAGGGGAGAGGAGGAGGAGGAGGAGGAGGAAGAGGAGGAGGGGGCAGTGATGAATGTATTGTAAATATGGTGTGTATGGAGATCCCTAGAACTTCTATCGTTGGTGTAGAGTGAGTGAGAGTGGAGGGTAGATCATCTAGTTACTGATGAGCGTAGCTGGATAGGTGTTAACCTAACGTAGCAGGATTAAAAGAAACGCCTGACACTAGATCCCCTACATACTGGTCTTGAAGAGAGGAAAAATATATGTCGGGGGAGGTTCTCTTCTGCGCTGTTCAACCAATCCAGTAAATGTGGAGGAGGAGTTAAGATGGAGTGTTGCCTTGTTAACGTCCAAAAAGCTGAAGTCGTGTCACAGGCTCTCTTTCCATTCCCCCTGTAAACCAGAACATCCGGTTGTTGGGGACTCGGCAGAGGCTAGGTTAGGTAAAAGTAGGAGTGATTGACTTTGGGTCAATTTAAAGACGCCTCCCTCTTAGCTGTATCAGTTAATGGTTCTGCCAGCTGAAAGTGACGAGGAGATGAGGAGATAAGTACTGGAACTGAACATGTGATTATTCCTGATTGACACTAACACAGCTTGAAAGGTTTACCAGGTCTCCAATCTAAATAGCTAAAATGAGTATTTTGTTTGTCTTGATGACTCAGCTGTTTTTCTGTTCAATGCCAGTCAATGATTTAGGCATTCCAAACAAAAGAAGATGATAAGCTCAGCTTTATGCCGGGTTGTGTGGTTGCGAGAGATATCTGACATCATCTATTTTCTTGTACGCACAGATTGCATCATATTAATCGTCAGTATTTTCACACCTGATCCAACCTGGGATACAGCGCCTCTGTGAGCCTGATTACTAACATCCAGATGGCCTAACAATGACTCACTATCCTGACGTTTCCGTGGCATAACTTATCCTATAACATAGAACCATGTAGTGATGATAAAACAGTTGGCAATGCCAGTGGAGATGACAAGTGGTAAATTGACTTTAACACTAATGCTAAATATCATTGGTTTATAAACACCTGGTGATGTATAGACCACCATTAAATATCGTCTCAATCTGAGCGCCTTGTTAAAGCTCGGGACTTAAAAATCCTTCGAAACGTCCTGTGAATGTTAATGTTAATGACATTCCATGAGAACGCTCCAATCCTTAGTAATCAGGGCGGGAGGGAGGATGTGTGGGGGCTGTTGAGGATCTGTGGAGGGGAGGGAGGAGGTATGGGGGCTGTTGAGGGCCCGGGGGGAGGAAGGACGTGTGGGGGCTGTTGAGGGGCTGGCGGGGAGGCAAGGGGTGTCCGACAAGGGGTCTCTCTATCCCATTGGCTCTGTTGCCATCCAAACACTGCCAACACATATCCCCTTTCTTTCTCCCTCTTACTGTCCCTTTCCTGTCCTCCCCCTGTCTTCCCCTCTCAACTTCCTGTCCTCCCCTTTCATCCACCTGGCCTCCCCCTGTCCTCCCCCCTCCTCCCCCGTCCTCCCCTTTCATTCCCCTGTCCTCTCCCTGTCCTCGCCCTCCTCTCACTGTCCTCCGCCCTCCTCTTCCTGTCCTCCCCCTGTCCTCTATCTGTCCTCCCCCTGTCCTCCACCTGTCCTCCCCCCTCCTCTCCCTGTCCTCCCCCTGTCCTCCACCTGTCCTCCCCCTGTCCTCCACCTGTCCTCCCCCTGTCCTCCAACCTTTTCCTCCCCCCTCCTCTCCTGTACTCACCCTGTCCTCCCCCTCCTCTCCCTCCCCCCCCCTCCTCTCCCTGTCCTCCCCCTTCCTCCCCCCCCTCCTCTCCCTGTCCTCCCCCCCTCTCCCTGTCCTCCCCCTGTCCTCTCCCCCTCCCTCCCTGTCCTCCCCCCTCCTCTCCCTGTCCTCCCTCCTGCCTCTCCCCCCTCCTCTCCCTGTCCTCCCCCCCTCCTCTCCCTGTCCCCCTGTCCCCCCCCCTCCTCTCCCCTTCCCTCCCCGCCTCTCCCTGTCCTCCCCCTCCTCTCCCTGTCCTCCCCCTGTCCTCCCACCTGTCCTCCCCCCTCCTCTCCCTGTCCTCCACCCTGTCCTCCTCCTGTCCTCCCCCCCACCTCCCCCTGTCCTCCCCCTGTCCTCCACCTGTCCTCCCCCTCCTCTCCCTGTCCTCCCCCCACCTCCCACTGTCCTCCCCCTGTCCTCCACCCTCCTCCCCCTGTCCTCCACCTGTCCTCCCCCTTCCTCTCCCTGTCCTCCCCCCACCTCCCCCTGTCCTCCCCCTGTCCTCCCCCTGTCCTCCACCTGTCCTCCCCCTGTCCTCCACCTGTCCTCCACCTGTCCTCCCCCTGTCCTCCCCCCTCCTCTCACTGTCCCTCCCCCTGTCCTCCACCTGTCCTCCCCCTGTCCTCCCCCCTCCTCTCACTGTCTTCCCACTGTCCTCCACCTGTCCTCCACCTGTCCTCTCCCTGTCCTCCCCTCTCATCCCTAACTTTTCCACCTTGTAGAACCACAGGCCTGAGAGACACTGTGGACTTGGCATTTAACAACTGACAAAGAGTGTTAACATTTAATCGCTAAATGTTAACTGCCATAATAGCCCAGCTTCCCTCAGTACGGCAGCAGGGGAAACTTTATAATAGCCCAGCTTCCCTCAGTACGGCAGCAGAGGAAACTTTATAATAGCCCAGCTTCCCTCAGTACGGCAGCAGAGGAAACTTTATAATAGCCCAGCTTCCCTCAGTACGGCAGCAGAGGAAACTTTATAATAGCCCAGCTTCCCTCAGTACGGCAGCAGAGGAAACTTTATAATAGCCCAGCTTCCCTCAGTATGGCAGCAGAGGAAACTTTACTTTACCCCTGGATGGAACATCCTTTAGTTTCTGCCTTCTGCTCATCCCAACACGGGAAACGGCTTATATCTGACCCAATTGTGGCACTAGGGATACTAGTTAAGTTAAATCAAATGCTGACCCAGATTAACTGTCAGAAGACTATGCCAGCTGATGGGATAATTAAGTCAGTGGGGCAAACAAATGTTGTTTACAAGAGGTAGTCAAATTCAGTACATTAAAAATAAATGTACAAAATGACAAAGAAATGATCAGTCTATAATTTTAATGGTAGGTTTATTTGAACAGTGAGAGACAGAATAACAACAAAAAAATCCCAAAAAAGGGATGTCAAAAATGTTATAAATTGATTTGCATTTTAATGAGGGAAATAAGTATTTGACCCCCTCTCAATCAGAAAGATTTCTGGCTCCCAGCTGTCTTTTATACAGGTAACGAGCTGAGATTAGGAGCACACTCTTAAAGGGAGTGCTCCTAATCTCAGCTTGTTACCTGTATAAAAGACACCTGTCCACAGAAGCAATCAATCAATCAGATTCCAAACTCTCCACCATGGCCAGGACCAAAGAGCTCTCCAAGGATGTCAGGGACAAGATTGTAGACCTACACAAGGCTGGAATGGGCTACAAGACCATTGCCAAGCAGCTTGGTGAGAAGGTGACAACAGTTGGTGCGATTATTCGCAAATAGAAGAAACACAAAAGACCTGTCAATCTCCCTTGGCCTGGGGCTCCATGCAAGATCTCACCTTGTGGAGTTGCAATGATCATGAGAACGGTGAGGAATCAGCCCAGAACTACACAGGAGGATCTTGTCAATGATCTCAAGGCAGCTGGGACCATAGTCACCAAGAAAACAATTGGTAACACACTAAGCCGTGAAGGACTGAAATCCTGCAGCGCCCGCAAGGTCCCCCTGCTCAAGAAAGCACAAATACAGGCCCGTCTGAAGTTTGCCAATGAACATCTGAATGATTCAGAGGAGAACTGGGTGAAAGTGTTGTGGTCAGATGAGACCATAATCGAGCCCTTTGGCATCAACTCAACTCACCGTGTTTGGAGAAGGAGGAATGCTGCCCATGACCCCAAGAACACCATCCCCACCATCAAACGTGGAGGTGGAAACATTATGCTTTGGGGGTGTTTTTCTGCTAAGGGGACAGGACAACTTCACTGCGTCAAAGGGACGATGGACGGTCAAATCTTGGGTGAGAACCTCCTTCCCTCAGCCAGGGCATTGAAAATGGGTTGTGGATGGGTATTCCAGCATGACAATGACCCAAAACACACGGCCAAGGCAACAAAGGAGTGGCTCAAGAAGAAGCACATTAAGGTCCTGGAGTTGCCTAGCCAGTCTCCAGACCTTAATCCCATAGAAAATCTGTGGAGGGAGCTGAAGGTTCGAGTTGCCAAACGTCAGGCTCGAAACCTCTGCAAAGAGGAGTGGGACAAAATCCCTCCTGAGATGTGTGCAAACCTGGTGGCCAACTATAAGAAACGTCTGACCTCTGTGATTGCCAACAAGGGTTTTGCCACCAAGTACTAAGTCAAGTTTTGCAGAGGGGTCAAAGACTTATTTCCCTCATTAAAATGCAAATCAATTTATAACATTTTTGACATGCGTTTTTCTGGATTTTTTTGTTGTTATTCTGTCTCTCACAGTTCAAATAAACCTACCATTAAAATTATAGACTGATCATGTCTTTGTCAGTGGGCAAACGTCAGCAGGGGATCAAATACTTTTTTCCCTCACTGTATGGGAGAATCAAATCAAATACAATTGTATTTATCACATGCGCCGAATACAACTGGTTTAGACATTATAGTGAAATGCTTGCTTACGAACCTTTCCCAACGATGCAGAGTTGAAAAATAATAATACAAAATAAAATAGTAACTAACACAAGAGGAATAAAATAAAATACACAAGAATGGAGCTATATACAGGGAGTACCAGTACCAGATCAATGTGCAGAGGTATGAGGTACTTGAGGTAGATATGTACATGACGGCTATTCCTGACATTTACAGAGAGCTTCAACAGAGACCTCACAGTCTCTCTAGACCTTGCAGATCATTATGATGTTCACCGCCATGTCCTGGCCATGAAAAATAGTCAATATGTAAATGGAAAAAATATTTT